TTAGAACATTTAAAACTAGTAAGGAAAGTGTGGATTGTTCAATAAATGGTGTTGGGACAATTATATTTCTATAGAAAAAGTTAAGGTCTTATACAATACATGGACAGAAATACAACTGCATAAAGAGTGAAGGGAAGTGTAATAAAACTTTAAAAATATCATAAGTAAATACAGAGAATTTTCTCATAATCATTGGCTGGGAAGGACTATTCAAAGATAGCCTAAAACCCCCTAAAGCTAGAGAAATAAATTGACTAATTTGACTACATAAAACTTGAAAACTGAAAGACAGTATGGTAGACACTACCATCAACGTAAAACGTATGGCACTGGCTTTGGGACGAGGTGATGGGACTGGAGGAGAAAAGCAGAAAAAAAGAAAACAAAATCAAAACGCTTTATCCAACTTAAAAATAAGTCAGAGTTTTCTTTATTACTTTATTACTTTTGTAGACAGAAGTCAGATAATGTCACTCCTCTGTTGAAAATCCCCTCTGACGTCCTATCTTAATCAAAGTAGAATCCAATATCCTTACTACAGCTTAAAACTTGCAAATGACCTGGCGTCCCACCTTGTCCTCCAACGTTCATTTCATGTAGGCTTCTGACAACAAGACTACAGCACTTGTGGCTTCAGTTCCTGAAATCTCTTCCCTTAGAAATCTATGTAGGAGGTCTACTCATTCACGGTTTTTAGGACTCTGTTCAAATATCACCTGATCAGAGGAGCCACCCTTGGACCATTCTATTTAGAACAGGATGTTTACTCACTCTTTGCCTACCTTACCTTGCTTTATTCTTTTTGGTTAAAATCACCCCAAGATAAAATATTACATGTCAGTTTATTTCTGTTCTGTTCCCCTCTTGACTTTCTTGTTCACTGCTATATCCTCAATACCCAGAACATTCCTTAGCTCATAGTACTGCTCTGCCAGCATTTAATTAATAAAAGAATATTTAATTCATAAATATAGTATTGAGAATCTAAGTAGAGAATCTAAGAAATGTTAGAAATAAGTTCCCTCTGAATACTATTAAAATCTAAAATGAAATAAAATACAGCTTATATATGAGAAGTCATG